TTCCCAAAGTAAATAAAAAATAAGAATGAATAAACATTCACTTTTTAAAATCATTTCAACTTAAGCAAGGCAACAAAGACGCACGGGATTACTGAGTGTGAAAAAATAAGAAAAAGAAAAACATTATTAAGGAGTAAGAATAATAAAAGAAATGGAATGAAAGGGTTATAGATTGACATTGCATTTAAATTAAAGATCAAAGTTTAGCTGGAAAGTAAGAAATCGCAAGAGAATTCCATAAGCGAAGGTGCAATAACAGAAAAAAACTGTTAGCTAAGTCCTTACGGTTACATCTAAGCAAATTCAATTGTAAAAGGATAAGACCTACTTGCCAATCTGCGTTTAAATTCATAAAGTATAGGTACCATGAAAAATTGCCATGAAAGTATTTACAGAAAAAGGTACAGGGAAGCAACATTATGGTGGTGGGAAAATGGCTGAAAGCCAGGATGCCGGGTCAGGACCAATAACATTACAGATTCTTCTTTGGCTTTTATCAAGAATCTCTAAATGTATAGCAGCAATATACTTATAAATATGTACAATGGATTCTGGAGAGAAAAATTGTCTGCCATGTCTTTTTTTCAATTGATCATAAGGAAGCTCAGTAAATTTAAATCTATTGTAACGAACATTTAAAACTGAATTTGACATTTTCCTTTGATATATATATATATATATATATATATATATATATATATATATATATATATATAAAGATTAAAGTCAGTCTATACGCATATCATTCAGCAGTCAGTAACAGCCGCTGCTGATTCGATGAAAACCAGGTATTTCCGGCAAAGATACTGATCATTTTTCAGGAAAGATACTGATAATTTTTTTAGCAAAGATACTGATCGTTTTGTAGCAAAGATATTGATCATTTTCCGGCAATGATACTGATCGTTTCGCAGCAAAGACACTAATCATTTTGCAGCAGAAATATTGGTCATTTTAAAGTAAAGATACTGATCATTTTGCAACAGTGATGCTAATAATTTTTCAGCAAAGCTACTGATCGTTTTGCAGAAAGCCGAGTTCCAATTCCAGTTGGGTTCGTTATATTCACTTATGCTTAAGTCCCATCGAGAAAGGTATGAATCCGCTTCTTCTCTCCCCCATCTGTGGGTTAATTATTAGGACTTGTATCAGTAAATCCTTATTATCTTCAAAAAATTCTTACGATCTAAAATATTTTCTGCCTTTAAATAAGCTGAAAAAGGTTGATAAACCGTAAAAATCTAATCTATCAAATAAACGTTATTTTCCTCATTAAATTAGGCGTACCATTTAGAAAGACAATCTAGCCGCATGTGGCCCGCGGACCGCAATTTTCCTATGACTGGTCTATAGTATCTATTCCTGTTTTAGTCAATCTCATTTTTTTTTTACTAGTTGTAACTGATTTTATATTATGTTTAGATAAATTATTTTCTCTTGTAGCCGAAATAGTTTTTTTTTTTAGGTTTTATGATGTTCCGAGATTTATAAAAATATTTACATTTGAATCTAGTAAGCTTTAAGACTAGCATTAAAGATGAAAGAATTAGGACATTGGAGGTTTTTTTAAAGTATTTTCAATGTATTTCTGTTCATCGTGTAAACATAGAATTACAAATTTTAAGTGCTTTTAAATTAAAACGGATCATTATTCCTCTTTTATTTTGTTGCTATGGTGAAAATAGAAGTTTGTGAGATCATTTTTCTTTTCGATAGAGACATTTATTTTTAGATCAGCATTTCTCAATCCTTTTTTCCGTGTGGCTCCATATTTGGTGTCAAAAATGTCAGGTCCACATAAGCACAAATAGAAATTCCATGTAACAGGAAATACATTTTATTCATAAAAGCAAAATGTAGTAGAAAATGTAAGTCCTGACGAATGACTTCACTGATCCTGGTGTCTTCAGGACTATTTAAAATTCTCAGGTCCACTTCTGGGCTTAAGGGGCCAAGATGTGAATCAACGTATTAGATCATTATCTATATAGTTTAACATGGCGTCGAGGAAAGGTAATTTATTGATGGTTTCTGTTTCAGAAGTAAATTTGATTTTATGTTTAATGTTTAATTAATAATTTCTACAACCTTTTTTTTTCTTTCTTTTTACTTTCTCTGTCTATTCATATATATATATATATATATATATATATATATATATATATATATATATATATATATATATATATATCTGTCTATTTATCACAGTCATTCTTTCTTTCTGTTTTCTTTCTTTCTTGATATTTCCCTTTATTCTTTTTCTTTTTTTCTAACTTTTCTTTTTTTTCTTTTCCTTTAATGATCTTTCTTTCTTTCTTGACCTTTCTCTTTATTCTTTCTTTCTTTTTCGACTTTATCCTTTATTGTTCTTTCTTTTTCGACATCTCCTTTTATTTTTCTTTCTTTCTCCTTATTGTTTTTTCTTTCTTTCATTCTCTCTTACTTTCTTTCTCTTTATTGGTGCAGGACATATTGAAGACAAGAGAGACAAATAAAAGCCGCAAATAACCTACATAACGAGCTTGTGTAAATGGTTGGTAGAACAGGGATTAGACGAGATAGTCAATAGACAAATACAAATAAGAGCTAAAAAAGACAGAAAGTTTTGGAGAGCCATAATCACCCGAGGGACACGGCACATAGAAGAAGAAATCGATATTTTTAATAATAATTATCAGAAATGATCTTTTAAATGATTTCAGACTTTACAAGTACACACCAAGCCATTTTCATCTCTCTCTCCCTCTCGATATATATATATATATATATATATATATATATATATATATGTGTGTGTGTGTGTGTGTGTGTGTAAGCCCTGTACATAAAAATATGGCACCCAGTATTAATCTCACCTTATTTAGTTGTTTTTTATTTTTAAATAGAAAGATGCTAACTCGAATTCCAGCCACGTACTTTTCGCGACGCAACTAATATATAGGCATGACACACTTGATCTTAAGCAGGCAACCATGAAAAATAATTAACAATACTGAATAACAAACCTCTTAAAATGGCTAAAGATGTGGGCTAAAGCGCTTGGGACAATAGATCTTACGAAGAATATTAGAAAAACTAAATAAAAGATTTATCAATTTTTCCTTGTATCATATTTAATGAAATCTAGGAACTGATATGCTTGACCCTCATACGTCGAATTCGACGGGAGAGTCAAATATATTCGGTTTATACGCTATTTTTACTTGGACTTTGATAACCAGATGCTTCTTTGTAGCTAAATGGTATAGCACGTCAGATCAAAAAACTGTTTTCGTGTTGGAAGACAGGTTCGATTCCTGTCGAACATTCAGGCTGGAAATTTAAATAATACTTTTTAATTAAACACAGAGAATTTACTTAAATAAATTATATCTATAAATATAACGTATAAAACAAAAGAAAATATATTAAATAACTGTTTGACTTAATCCATTTCATCATATATATATATATATATATATATATATATATATATACACAAAGAAATATAGTTTTAAGGTGTGCTATATTTATGGGATAAATTGCTCAATATCAGAGATAGAACGTATATATATATATATATATATATATATATATATATATATATATATATATATATATATATATGTATATATATATATATATATATATATATATATATATATATATAGTCATCCACAGAGAGACTGTTTCGCTGTATCAAAGCTAATCACTTAATTTGAATTTAACATAGGTCAATTTCGATTAGTTGATCAAAGTAAAGCCCTGTAGCCTATATTTTTTCTCGAATAAATGAGAAGGCATTTTGCTTTTGAAATTAAATTAATCGTTCAATCGCTATTAATTTAAAATCGCCTTAGGAGATGTATTGATATGCATCGAAATACGATCGCAATTGTGTAGCGATTTTTAACATGTTTTTTGATTTAATATTCTAAAATATTTTGCTCGACTTTTTATTTAGCCCTCTTTTCAATTAAATGTTACGATCGTTGGCATTGTACTCTGTTCGTTCTTATCTTACCTATATATATATATATATATATATATATATATATATATATATATACATATATATATATGTATCTTACCTTATATATATATATATATATATATATATATATATATATTACCTTTATATATATATATATATATTCTTTTATATATATATATATATATATATATATATATAGTGGAATAATCCATAGCATTTACTTACGTGCTAATACCCTTGGGAAAGATATATGTCTTCTTCCTTCCCCAGGTAGGGGTAAATAGCAAGACAGACCGGGTTCTATAACCTTTGATTACAACTGGTCTACCGCAGAAAGAAATGGCAACCTACTGCGGGAAAAATTACCTCGTCAGTCATGTATTGAAAGATACATGATCGCCTAAACGCATGGCACATAACTGACTGATATATATATATATATATATATATACATATAATAATAATAAAATTTTAAAAATTTAAAATTTCAGACACACTGGGTTGTATATTAATATTTTTATTTTATTATTTAAATTAGGTTCCTCGACTAGTTTCGGCCAGTATGGATAACATCGAGAGAAAAATTTCCTACTTGTTAGTAGCAGTGAACTACCGGGGTGAATGACTGTCTCTGTAGTTTTCATTTGTTTGTTTTTTATCGTTAATTTTTGGTCATCCCTTGTATTGGTCAAAAGAGCTCTTTCAAGTTCTTTTAAGGAGAGGCTGGGAGATTCATGAGTCTCAGATTTACCGCCTTCTGACAGCTTTGTTTGTCGCTGGGCAGGGGATGTGTGTGTTATGTGTATGTTATCTTTTAGGTTTTTTGTGGGGGGAGGTGACGTGTGTATGTGTATATATTTGTATAAGTGCGTGTATGTGGGAGACCTCAACGCCTCTGCAAGCATGTCTGTCTAGTGTGGTAGATATATATAACAAATTTAGTCCGATGACGTCCTGAAGGTCGAAACGCGTCACAAATAAACCTTTCCCACTTTGTCATACAATTTTACCGATATATTATCCCATATTATTCCCGGTAAGAACTTGCTTTACTTTCTTGGCAATATAAGTAGTCAGTCCATCTGTCCGATGTTCGTCTACTAAGCCAGGTGACGTCACCTCGTTGGGTTATCTGTGTATTATGTAACGTGATGGCCCGCGGATAAAAGAGGCAAAAGTGGAAGAAAGAAACTAATAAATTAATGGCGTTGTTGCTGTGAGGCACGTGCAGAAGAATAGAAAAGAAGAAGATGGTGGTGAAGAAGAAGAAGAAGAAGAAGAAGAAGAAGAAGAAGAAGAAGAAGAAGAAGAAGAAGAAGAAGAAGTAGGAGGAGGAGGAGGTAATCAAAAGGGAAAGTAGAAAAAACAAACAAAAACAAAAAACAAAAGAGAAAAGAAATGATGCTAGATGATGTGTGGTTCGCTTGATATCTGTTGATCACGCAAGCCGTGACCGGCTGGGATATATGTTGTGGCCTAGATTCCACGCTCAGTGTCATTAGTAACCGGCCGACCGACAGTCCAAACAGGCCGACGGCTTTCAGAGTCGTCGTCACAAGTTCACACACGCGCGCACACTCTCTCTCTATCTCACACACATCCACTTACACACGCATGTGCACACACGTAGGTAGATAGATAGATATACTAACATAAACGTAGAGAGAGAGAGAGAGAGAGAGAGAGAGAGAGAGAGAGAGAGAGAGAGAGAGAGACAGTGAGAGAACGAGAGAGAGAGAGAGAGAGTGAGAGTGAGAGAGTGAGAGATGTGGAGGAGAGACCGAGAACTGTGGACATACACGTGAACGCAAAACAGGACACACGTATGGACATGCACAACTGGAGGTATGGGCACATACCTTCAAAGGTGCGGACGCACACATACAGAGATTTGGACACACACAGACACGCGCGCGATCGCACACACACACACACACACACACACACACACACACACACACACACACACACACACACACAGATGCGCATAGATACTGCAGAGACGCGGAAATCCCTAAGTCACACATACATAAACGGGGACACACACCCACACACATATATATATGCACCCCTACACACAAACACACGGAAATAATGGTCAGCTATTCGTTTTTTTTTTTTCGAACGTACCCATCTATTATGGTGGGTAGTTAATCCCTGTTGCAGACGTCTGCTCAGGTACATTTATGTTTGTTCAATAATCAGTGAGTTCACGTGTAGTTTATACTACAACCATACTCAGAAAAAAATTACAGCTTCTGGGAGAAAGCGTATTATCTGTCGTGATCAATTATATATTCTGTCTTTTTATGATTGTTAGTCCTTTCTTCTTGCTTTCTTTTACTTTCTTTCTTTTGTCTAGGAGTTTTTGCAGTTATCTTTCTCTGTTTACCAGCAAAGCGGTATCATCTCCATATCTTATGTCGTTAAAACTGTGTCCACCCATGATAAATTTTAGCAGGTATTCTATTTCTGTTAATATTGCCTCACGATTTAAATTGGATAAGTCCGGCGAGAAGGTGCACCCTTGTCTTAATTCTGTTTCTGTTTATCTGTGTTTGCTCAATTCATTTTCTATCTGCATTTTGGCAGTTTGTTACCAGTAAAAAATTCCGGATTATTCTAATATATTTCTCCGAATAAATTATGTTTTCCTAGCAGTTTAATGTACTGCTGGTAATAATTTCTTCAAAAATTTATTGCTGATAATAATTTTTTTAATAAAATGTATTGCTATTATTAAAACCTATTTTTACACGTTTTGATCCCAGTTTGGGTGTTAACTATTTCTCCGTAGCTGGGACCCTAACAAGTGCTACCAGTCCGGGTTAAGGTGGACCTGGGAACACCAACAATTAAGAGGTGGTTCCAGGCTTCCCAAAACCTCCTGATCAAAGGTCTTGCTGTCAGATGTAGTTTATCGTCTTGCCCAGGACGACCAGTTCTCAGTATTCAGCTCTTCTACACAAGTCTACAGCACTAGAATCAAATCATGTGTGCAGATAGTACTGGTTGTTCGGTTCTAAGAATTTAGTTGCTGTACTCTCATGCACCGAAAACAACGGGAGAGAGTTTATATATATATATATATATATATATATATATATATATATATATATATATATATATATATATATATATATGAGATATGGAGAAAAAGAAGAAAGAAATTCTTGTATTTTTATCCTTGAATTGGGAACGCTACAAATTATACTAATGTTGGTTTAAAAAGTCGAATGTATGTGAAACATTTTAGAATGATAAACGTTTCCTATTTGTTCTTTATCTTATTATATATATATATATATATATATATATATATATATATATATATATATATATATATATATAAATTAGGGACACCAAAATCCAAGCTACCACGCTACCCAGGTTTCGGCCGTTTGGATTTTGTTGTCCCTGGCTACATTTTGCTCTCTAAACCAAATCTTTCAGATTTGTATTGAGCACTTTTTGGGATTGCACCTTTTTTAAACAAGGCTGTTTACAGCTTTTTACAATATATTATTTTATATTTTATTCTATATTTATACACACACAGAAACACACACACATGCATATATGTATATATATCACCGGTAGATATCACTCAATTAGCCAAACAGACAACTAAGTTTTATCATCTATTATAAAAAAGTTTACAACGGCTAACATAATTATTACAAATAACACCGGGCCTCATAAGTACACCCTATGTAAAAATAATGTTGTCTGTATTCTCATGTCATTTTGGAGATTCCATCTCCCAAAAACAACATTAAATACTTACATTGGTCACACACACACACACACCACACTATCACGTTGATTGACCTGTCACCTGCCGAAATTAAAAAATAGGAAGTTTATGGATAACATAATACTTGGAAAAATATAATAAATATATATATATATATATATATATATATATATATATATATATATATATATATATATATATATATATATATATATATATATATATATATATATTTGTTTGTGTGTGCTGGTGTGCAAGTGGTGTAATGGTTAGCGACCCAGAAGGCGAAATCGGCGCATTCAGTCGTTCATTCCATTAGCGCAAATAAACTTGGGAAATGTATGGATCCATCTCCTCTACAGTTATGGATTAAATAATAGGCAGACTGTGCTCGTGACAACTCCATTCCTTGAAACAACTATTTGCTATGGAAACTGAAGCAGCGACGCGTAGCAGGCTGAACATGTGACTCTATAATACACAGTTGAAGTGTACAAGATTTGAGAGAGAGAGAGAAAGAGAGAAAGAGAGAAAGAGAAAGAGAGAGAGAGAGAGAGAGAGAGAGAGAAAGAAAGAGAGGGGGAGAAAGAAAGGGAGAGAAAGAGAGAGGGAAGAGGAAAGACAGGATATCAGTGTGGAGATAGAAATTAACTTAGCATTGTGAGTGGAAGTTTCACGCTTGAAACAATGATTAGACCATGTGCTACTTCTCTTTGTGTAGAGCCGTGGTTCCAAAAGTCAGGCGTACGCCTTACAGGGGGCGGGGAATTTGATTTTTAAGGGGGGCAATTCGAGAACGAGTTATTAACAGTAATTTTTTTCTCGTGTGTCTGTGTGAGCATGTTTGAGAGTTAATATATACGGTGCATATAAAGTATTCTTACATAAAAATATTTGTATGTATGTACATGTGTGATTACGTATGTACTGTATATATTTTAGTAACAATATATATTTATAAACTAATATTAAATCATAATACTACTGCATCTACGTAGTTTCTAGTTCTTAAGGAAAGTTGACGACTTTTTAGGTTTAATCCACATGAATAGGAGTTCACTTTTTGAAAAATAAGAATTATTGGTCACGGGAGTGGGGATCAGGTTTTTAGAAATGCTTAGGTAGGGCATGGCCAAAAAATGTTTGGGAACAATTGGTGTAAAGTCTATATATAGGTTATTAGGGGTTCATGGCACGTAGAGGAAGAAAGAAGGCGATTTTCACCATTTTAGTATGCAGCTAATGTTTTAGATTATTTCTAGTTTTGACTATTTGTTTATTTTATTTATTTTAATTTTGTTTACTCATTTCACCCCAAGTAAAGCAAGAAAGCCACTAAGACGCAAGTGGTTACTGAGAGAACATGAGGAACAAACACTATTAAAAAGAGAGAACAATAAAAAATCAGGACACTATTTACATTATTCGGACTATTGTTCTTATCTTTATCGCCATATTTATTACAACGTTTCGGCCGTTGTACGCTCCGGCCTTCTTCAAGTGGTTGGAATGACGAACTGATCCCTTTATTTAAGACACATGGCACAGTGGATAAAGGCGTTTGTTAGATACAGTCTCAGGACCTAAAGAGTGTGAGTTCAATACCTAGTTAAGGCAGTGGAGAACTTGGAGAGGGGAATTAAGAGGAGATAACTGATAACTGACATCCATTAAACATGGCACGTGGAACTAGAACAGTCTACACCAGTGAGCGAAATAAAGGGTTCAGTTCGACATTCCAACCACCTGAAGAAGGCCGGAGTGTACAACGACCAAAACGTTGTAATTAATATAGCGACAAAGATGAGGACAATAGTCCGAATAATGTCAAGAGTTTTCATAATACCTCATCTCAGAAATATAGACAGATACCAAAAGATCAGTAATTAAAAAGAGCCTTTCATATTGGAAATACTTTTTATAAAGAATATTACTTTAAATTAGTGAAATCCACTCTTGGCTGCCCTAAAACCTCGAGGAAGGGCAAGCAGGTTTTTGTAATCTTTTCAACCCAAGTAAGGCAATAAAGCGACTAAGGCGCAAGGGGGGAGTTACTGAATGTCAAAGAATATGAGAGAAAGAAAAACATTATTAATGAAAGAGGACAATAAATGAAGACAAAATTAAGAAGACAGACGATAATGATTGATATTGCATTTAAATCTTTGAAGATGAAAGTTGACTGGGAAGCAAGAAGCGGTAAGAGATTTATGTAATGGAATGGAGGATTGGAGTAAATTAATAACACGAAATTTCAGTATCTGTTTATATTTCTGAGATGAGGTATTATGTACACTATTTACATTATTCGGACTATTGTTCTAATCTTTGTCGCCATGTTTATCACAACGTTTCGGCTGTTGTAGGCTCCAGCCTTCCTCAGGTGGTTGGAATGTCGAACTTAACCCTTTATTTCGCACACTGGGACAGACTGTTCTAGTTCCACGTGCCATGTCTAATGGATGTCAGTTATCTCCTATTAATTCCCATCTGAAAGTTCTCCACTGCCTTGACCAGGTATTGAACTCACACTCTTTTGGGTCCTGTCACTGATTAAATCTATAAAAAGGAAAATCTCGAAGAAAAGATGATATCAAGTTAGCAATTTATTGAAATTTTAATTTTTATCATCATCATCATCACCATTTTCTATTATAGAATCAATATCTAAATTGTCATTAAACAAATTATCATTCACAATATTATCTTCGTCCTGTTCAGAATGATCTCCGGCCTCTTCATTCTCTTGCCAAAGGATGTCATCTTCAGAGCCATCCATGGCTGTCGGGGAGACAACGCTTCTTGAAACCTCTCTTTATAACATCATCACTGATGGAATCCCATTTTCAACATTATTTTACCCGCTTAGTTTCGATTTTATTTTATGAATAAAATCGAAACTAAGGCCGACAAAATGTCTTCGTAATTATTTTTTTTGACAGAATTTATAGATGCGTATTATACAGAGGGATAGATATATTTCTTAATTTTTTTATCATTTGTTGGGGTGCGTATTATTCACGGGTGCGTATTATTTTCGAGAAATTACGATATATTTTTTCTGGGTTTTTTTTGGTACTTACAGTTGTTTGGTATATTACATTATTTTGTAGGCAGTTACCGTTCAGTGGGTATTAGAATTGGTTTTGTAGTTATAGATCGGGATTGTGGGTGATTATGGTGTACTGACGATTTTTATTTCGTGCGTGTGCGTGCTTTTAATTATTTATAGAATGTTATCGTTCAGCTATAGCTAGGTTTTAGAGTATTTCTGTTGAATACTTTATTCATATTTTTCAAAATAATATTCTTTTTTGTTAATGCACTTCATACGGTGGGGTATATTCATTACATACATGAAAATTATAATTATTATTGATCGGTTTTATTTCTTTCGCTCGAAATCTCTCTTTTTAAAGTTTTACAAAATCCTTCCTGAAACATGCTTGCACCAACTGTATCATTATTGTAAGTTTAAGAGATCCAGTGCCTAGCTTCATTTGCTCTTTTGCTCCAGTTTAAACATTAGAATTAAAGTATCGAATATGCAATTTGAGTTTGCACGAAAAACCTATTAAAAAAAAGAAAGATTTCTGAAAGATTGTGAACCAATGATAATAAGAATTTTTGTATCAACCCAGTTAACTAATATAAATGCGATAACCAACATTTATTTATTTATTTATTTATTCATCAGTTGCTACTTCCGTCATAACCTGACTTATTTCTCGCCATTTATTACGAACTGGAGCATGCGTATTTAGCGCCTGTCACTCACTTGTTGGTAACCCTCTAAATTATGTTGCCCCCCCCCCTGTTTTGGTTTTCTTTCCCCCTTTTTCCATGTATCATCCCCCATTAAGATACAATCAGTTCTGCCTTAGATCTTTTAAATTCTGCTTAATTAAAAGATCTAACACAGGGCAACGTCGAACCTGGTGACTACCGAGATGTGTGACCGCCTTGGGAATACCAGGCCCTGTAAGCCTGGATGTGTGCATGGTGTAATGCATAACGGCCCAGAATTGGAAATAGAAGAACCGAGTTCCAATTGCAATCAAGTTCGCCATATTCGCATCCGCAAACACCCTTGAGAAACGTATGCATCTAATTCTTCTCTCCCACTAGCTATGGGTTAATTAGTAGTCACAGTAAATCATTATTCTCTCTAAAAACTCTTACAATGTAAAAATATTTTCTGGTTTCAAATAACCTTCAAAAGGTTGATAAGCCGTAAAAAATAAATCAATCATTAGCTCTTTTAATGTGTATGAAAAAAATTCCAAGAATTTGCTACGAATGGTATCGAAGAATGAAGATAAATTGATTATATTTCTAAGAGTGGTTATTTTCACTTTGTCTACCAACTTGTTGATCTGTGATATACATTAGACAGTTTGGGAACGTTTTAATTTGAGCTGAAAGTTTTTGAGTACATATTTCAGCCCAAACAAAATAAAACAACTGGAAAAATATCTATATTTGTTTTAGTGTGGATTGATACTTCTGTTGATTTCAGCATACCTTATATTTTCCAAAATCAGCTTTATTCAGTGTTTTACTGTAACTTCTTGGTCTTTTTCGCAAATATATTAGGAATTAGTCACGTGATCAATTTTCTCAGCGATTAATTAGCTGTTAAGTTGTGGTTATGCTTCGTTTATTGTCATAGAAATAGATCTCTTGAGGTTGAATTCAAAGTCCGTATTGCTTTATAGAAGAGAATGTAGCCCAAAAGGGAATGGCGATCTAATTAAAATTAATTATGTTTTATTTTAGATTTATGGAAATTTAATAATGAAATTGAAATCTAACGATTCTTGATTCTTTTGTGAGGTGATTGATTATCGACCCTAAACTATTCAGAAAATATTCTTAGTGGTGTATTCTGTGTATTAAAGAATGTTTTATCGACCTATTTGTCTTCTATCACTTTATTGGCAAAGACCTAAAGTCTCTAATCAATTCCAAGTTGTTAATTTTAATGTCTCCAAAACGAAATTTCTCTTTTTAATTGTTATAGAGAACCTTTTTAGTCTTCCATTAGCATGGATAATGATGATAACATACAGGTTTATTTACCCGGTCGCCCCACTGTAAACGAGATGTGACACAAAGTCGAATTTAACGTGGGGAACCCGAGCGCATAGACTCCAACCAAAGATCAAAATTTATCCAGCCCCACCACCGTAATCGCGGGACAGGGTACTTTTCTGGTCTATTTTTCGCAGCCAAGTCTCTGTCCGTAGATAGAGACCCGATTGAGTTGTGATCCCGGGCCAGGTTAAACTCCTGTACCATGATAACCTCCAGGGAAGTGACTCCTTGGACCTTTTCAGGCTAACGTTTTGCAATGGTATGAAATGGAACGATTATATTCTGTCAATTTCTAGGTATATTACTAGAAAAGTTGGTTCACTGTGTCGTGCTAGATAAATTTTCGCTTATATTGAATATTTATCTGCCACATCGGGTCTGGTGCTTCTGTTATGTATTTAGAGACGCTTGATAAATTATAAAGAAGAATCTGCAATGTTATTGGTCCTGAGATGGCATCTCGACTTTAGCCATTTTCCATTCGCTGTAACGTAGCTTCATTATACATTTTTATGGTAATTGTTCTGACGAGTTTTCCTCTTTGGTACGAATTT